TTTGTCTCTTGCCACTTTGTTACCAAAGCTGTACTGACAAGTTTGAAGAAATACAGGAAAGACAAACAACTACTACAGAGACTAGTAAAGAATTATTGCTTAAAATAAACACTCCAAAAACCACTCCTACACCCAAATTTGAATCCTTATCAAAGTCTGGGGCTTAACTTCTCTTCTTCCTCTTTTGGCTCTGTGCTGTAATGAAGTAATTTCTACCTTTGCCACTTAAAACTCATGTGAGAAGAGCTCAAGGTCTGCCCCTGCAAGGAGCAGAAGATCTGTACTCAATGCAGATGGCAGAATTCATGCACTAAATGTGAATAATAACTAAATTTTTTTTCCTATGGCTGTGATTTCTAGTGTGGAAAACAGCTTTGATCACTTTTAAAAATTACACTGGAAAGACCAAAAAAGTGATCTGCTTTGTTGTTTCCTAAATCCATAATCCTTATCTATAACAAATAGACTAAGGCATTTTACAGTCAGATCTGTGTGACTCGGGAAGCAATTAGCAATGTCGAATGTGTGTTTGTTAGAGAGTGGTTTTTCTGTAAAGAATGAAAACCTGAAGAACTTTCTGAATTTAGGAACATGTCATTGCAAGCACTGAAGTGGAGCATGGGGGAGAAGGCAGATTTTTTAGCATTCTCTCTTGTATACAGGGCACAAGACTAAATAAAGAAACCTTTGTGCTAGATAATAAAGTTAGTTATTTTCTTACATACAAACCCAAACATTGTTAGATCAAGTACAAATAAATAAATAAAACTGAAGTTTGACGGTAAATATTTGATTTCCTGAGCAGTGTCATCATTGACCAGATTATAATTTCAAACAGATACAAATGAGGAGCAAATTAATAAAAAAACAAGATCTTTAGTGGAAGTGAGCTCAAGGTTTTATACAAACTTTGATGTTTAAAAGGCTCCTAAGGCCATTTACAAGCTCTGGAAAGAAGGTTTTATCACTGAAAAGTGGCAGCTGTGATGAGGGCTTCTATTTTATTCAAGCTTGAATAAATTACATATGAGAAATTCAGTCTCTGTTCACTGTATTACATCATCATGTGGCTGGGGTTACCTGAACATAGTTACAGATGATAGTCCAGCAAATAATATTTTGTTTTTAGTAAAGTATTGCATGGGAGTGAGTTTCTTTTTCAAATACTTTAATTTGGAAGTGTGATGATCCTGTGATTTCAGCAGATCTTTCTCAACTAGCAAAGCAAGTTACAAGCATCTTTCTTCTCACTGCAAAGGGGTCTTGCCTAGAAACCTGCACTACACAGAAACAGGTTTAAGGTCATAAATGCTTACTTGAGTGAAGTTTCTTTGCAACTGAAAGAAAGGTGCTTTACCTAATTTTTTTGTAGATGCTTACCATTTAGCCTGTGCAAAACCTCCTTCGTAAGGCAGGAAGGTTAATCATAGAATCATAGAATGGTTTGGGTTGGAAGGGACCTTAAAGATCATCTAGTTCCAACCCCCCTGCCATAAGCAGGGACACCTTCCACTAGACCAGGTTGCTCAAAGCCTCATCCAGCCTGGCCTTGAACACTTCCAGGGACGGGGCATCCACAACTTCCTTGGGCAACCTGTTCCAGTGTCTGACCACCCTCACGGTGAAGAACTTCTTCCTAATATCTAATCTAAACCTACTCTCTTTCAGTTTAAACCCATTTCCCCTTGTTTTGTGCAAATAGATGCTTTCCTGAACTGGTATCCTGAGCATTGCAGAGCCAACACTTTTTAACTATTTTGAAGTATTAATCACAGATCTCTTTAAAAATAGCTACAAGGGGAAAAATGGAAAATTGACATACTTTTTATGTGAAACCGGTTTGCTAATTAAGAACTTCTATGCACATCCTTTGTACTTCTTGGAATTAGATTGGTCTCAAGTGAAGGGTTTGCTGTGTTCTGCCCATCTAAGGTTGAAATGTTGCTCTGTCATTTTTAATCTTGATTAACACTCATAACACAACCTGCTTATCAATGCTGTGAGGTTTATGTATTCTTTATGCTGATATCATTGATGTACATAAGTATAATTGTACTTTTTTGTGTATTTTGCTTACATTCTGACTGTCACTTCATCCATTTGTTTTGTGTAATATCTGTACCTGCCTCTTGTTTTTCCTTAATCCAAAATTCTTTTAGAAGTTCTTGACTGAGCATGTCTTTTATGTGTTATGTTGAATATACACTTATGATGAAATACTTCTTGTAGTAAAAAAAAATTGTCTCCAAGTACAAATGCTTATGTAAGTTGTTGTTTATGAAGCATTTATTGTACAGCATTTACTCAGAGATTGTTGTGGTATCAAGTGATAAGCTTCAGGTTTTCCCCTGGAAAACCAAATTCAAAGAACTAGTCCTTTGTGTTACATTTTCTCATAGTAGTATGAGCCACATGAAAGAACCGTTGCCTAATATTCTTCTAAACAGAAGGTGACTGCATTGTCAAAGACTGCTGGTGAGTAATTGCAGATAGTGTTGCCAGATTGTGACTAACTGGGTACAAAATTTTAGATTAAATCATTTACAAACTAGTAATGAGTTTTCAATGCAGCTTTTTTTTTGTATTCTAAAATGCTTAAAATGGACTTCATTTTATATGTGGACAAAGTATATCTGTATTTATTTGTAAGCAAATGCAAAATGGTCTCTTTGAGTATAAGTGCTATTTTTTAGGTTTAAGGATGACAGCATCATTCCAAATGACCAAAAGGAAATGAAGAAAATTACCAGATTCCACTGAAGAGAATAAAGGAAACTTCAGCACAAGATGTTGTTGTTTACATAATAACTTTGCTTAGCTGTCGTATTTTATATACTTTCTCAGAAGTCTGTATTTTTCTGTGAATATGGGGGTCAATGGTGTTGAATTTCTGTGGTTAATGTGATACTTGTGAAGTATTTTTTAATCATAGAACTATTTTGCTTGTGACAAGGCAACAAGTCTGGTAGGAAATAGTGATGCAGATGAAAGGCTTGCAGTAGTATCCTCAGGTTTGTTGGGATATTTTTTTTTGTGAAGACCAGTTTATTGAAACTTTCAGGTGATGTGAGCTGCGTGAGTTCTTAAGGTGTGCTCTGAACTTGTTCATCCATATTCATTCCTACTTTTCCTCAACTAACTTTGTTTCTAACTGCCTCTGGGTACTTAGACTTACTACATTTAACTTTTGACTGGTTAAAGATTGATTCTTAGGGTAGATAGCAGGTCCTGGCTTTATTTACCAAAGATAAATATCAGAGTATTATCAGCCTTAGCTGATGCTAGGGGATGCATAGCTAGGGGATCGCAGGTATATCTTCTGGTTTGAGGATACAGATCACCTAATTTGATTAAAGACTGTGTGTGAAAAAGGAAAGCAAGACTCCAGTCTTCCACATTGTGTAGTCTTGCTGTTTCTCTCTCAGATCCAAGTTCTTTAAGTTGGGAACCTGCAGTTACTGCCTTTGGCCATAATAATCTCTTAGGAATGCAAGGTGACAGTAAGTAGAAGGAAGAATTCAGTAGAAATTCTGCTCAGAAATTCATCGGAAATCAAAAAGTAATGTTGTGTGGGAGAAAGAAAGAGAACACTTCATGTCTAAATTAGCTAGTATGTTCAGGAAAATTTCCTACACAAATACAGCCAAACTTTCCAGTCATAACATGGGATGGACTGTGAGCTAGAAGAGTCTCAGACCTGCTGTGACTTGCAGATAAACATCCTGGAAGATTCCCCATTAGGAACAGTCTCACCATGACTGAACTAATACTTAGAAAGTGCAGCATTTTCCGCCTCTGAGCTTGTGTGGGCCAGGGATTTCCTGTGTGGTCCCAGGATCCAGTGAAGTACCAAAGTTACGGGGTGTCATTTGACTCAGTTTCAGTGCTGCAGGGGCACTGCTTCCTGACTGGGTTTTGTTTAACACCCATGTCAAACTTCTGCATAGCACAGAAGTCAACCTAGAGGGCTCATGTAGCCCTTGCAAAAGAGCTGTTCCCATTTTGGGATCTCGTTTTAATTGCTTCTAAAAGATAAGCTGAAATGGTTTGGTATTTTGTCTACTATTTTTGCATTTCTTTTTCAATCCTTAAGTTCACGTCTCTTGTGTGAAAAGATCTGGGCTTAGAATTTTGAAAGTAATTAACACCAGCTAACTACCTGGCACAAACCAATAGTATCACCAATACCCTGGATGCTAATCCTGCCCTAAGTAGAGCTGCAGTCATAACCTTTCTGCTGGTTGCCGTCTCTGTGTTAAAAGAGATTTCAGCAACCAGTCATTCTTCACCCTAGACATTGTCTGGATGCAGTCAATAGAATAGCCTATGTACTCTGTCCTTCTGAAGTGTTGTGCTAATCTGGAATTTTTTTCCTAATGAATAAGCATTTATCATGTAAAACTCATCCCCAAGGAATTATCTGGCGTAAGGAATAGGTGCAGCTGAAGAGGTGGATGGAACACGGGCAGCCATTAATTCAGAGATTTTGTGAGAGCTCAGGTGGGGTACATTGCAGTTTTTCCCTAGTTGTTCTATATCTTGAGGTGTAACAACAAAAAGACCCTCTGTGTGCTAGCCTGATGTGATGAATATTTATTGATTATGTACAGTAGTGATACGGATCTTTCACATGTGAATGCTGCTAGCCTAGTGGAAAAATAAATGGAACAAAAAAGCAGTGAGAATTATCTGTTTATAGAGTTTTGCTTTGTTAGCATCAGAGAATATGTGGCTGCAGTGTTCACCTACCTGGTAGGGACCATACACAAAGGGCTTTTTGGCACTCTTCTCACCCTGCTACCCCCCACGTCCCCCTCAGTAGTGAATCTTTATCAGTACTTTAGCTATCCATCTTCTTAATTGAATCAGGCGTTGATTTAAGATCACTGTAACCTTTATGTGGCTCAAGGTGTTTTTTGATTGCATTGTGTATAAATTTGACACTGGGTTACAAAGACATATAACAAAATCCAATCTTTGTTTCTTTTGCTATATCATAGGAGGCTTTTCGATGGGAGGTGGAATGGCAATGCATTTAGCATATAGGTTTCATCACGATCTGGCAGGAGTCTTTGCTTTGTCTAGTTTTCTCAATAAAGACTCTGCTGTTTACCAGGTGAGTGTGTGGTAGACTTTATAGAAAAAACTACTTAGCTAAAAGATAATTAAAATTGAGTATAGGATGTTTATTCATCTGAGGCAATTGAGTAATATTCTAAATTTGTGACTTTTCTTGGAAATAGGTAAGCAGAGTATTAGGGAAATGAGGCTTTAAAGCTATCCTTAGGTCATGTTTTGTTACTTTTTCGCACAGACAATACAATTAATTTTTTCAAAGTAAGTCAGTGTAGAAGGCAGATTAACAAATGAAATGCTTTGCAAGTTGTCTGTAGTTGTTTAGAGAGTCCATGTAATTGTAACAATTCTTTGAAAATTTGTGGTGAATTATAATACTCATGGGCTCCATCTGCTGTCATGAATTTTTTCCATTTCTCTTATTTGGAGAGGGATCTAGACCTTAAAGTAAACCCTATGATTTGTCAAGAGTTAGCATACTGGAATTTGAAGTGCAAGTTTTTGTCCAGTAATATTTCCTTGTTTGCTTTTGGAGAGGAAGTACAATATGGTCACTAAAAGGCAGGTTAATAAATGAAATGCTATGTAAATTGTCACCATGTAGTTGTACCTATTCTTTTAAAATTTTTGGTGATATGTCTGACAGTGTTTCTTTTCTGTGTAGGCTTTGAAAATAAATGAAAGTGTTCTTCCAGAATTATTTCAGTGTCATGGAACTGCTGATGAACTGGTTCTCTACTCATGGGGTGAAGAGACCAACAAGATGTTAAAGTCACTGGGAGTATCAACGTCACTTCATACATTTCCAAACCTTCATCATGAGTTAAGCAAAACTGAAATAGAAAAACTGAAAACCTGGATTATAAAGAAATTGCCTGTTGAAGCAGCAAAGACAAACGAATAAAAGAAGATGCACCTTTCATAGACTTTCTGATTTTTGTGGGTTCAAGATGGTGTGTGGTGTGTCCATGGGTGTCCCATATATGTTGTATAACCACAGCTTCTGTGGGTTCAAGATGGTGTGTGGTGTGTCCATATATGTTGTATAACCACAGCTTTAGGCAGACACTGTTAAATTCTATAAAATTCACTTAAGTATTGAAATAATGGTGCTGACTAATAACAGTCATTTTATCATAAGAGTTTCTTTTTCTCTTTTCTTCTCCAGTTTTTAAATACACATCCACATCAGTCTATGGAAAGTAAAGACTGTTAATATTCAAACTATTCATAAATAATCAAAACACTATTCAAGAGGCATTGCTCTGAATTTTCCAGATACTTTTATTTTGATATGTGTTCTAAGGTGGAAAAAATAACAGAAGTATTGTTCTCCTTGTAGTAGCATTACAGCAGAAAAAGGCCAATTATTAAAATAATGGACTTTTACCTGTAGAAATACATGCAGATATACAAGTTAGTTCACTGAGAGGAACCTGTATTAGCTTCAGTTGGATTCTCAGCCTGTGGGAATGAAACCATCAGAGTTGTATGTCACCTCAAAAAAATAACTGAGGTTTGTGTTACAGTTTTTAAAGTCATAAGTAGCTGTGTCTACCTATACCACAGGCTCTTGTTATTACCCATTCTCATTGTTTTCTTACTCAGAGATGTAGCTTTATGTGAGTTGCTCGAGCCCTGTGTGGTTTACAGTGTAGGTATTAAAAAAAAAAAGAAAAAAAGTGCCATCATGATGTGATCTATCCTGTTTTTGAAGAAGTCATTCTTTGGGCACTGTTCCTGTAGAAATTTATTTTTGCCAACAGTTTTATTTTGGCCTGCAAGATCACATTTTAAATTAAAATATGAGGATACTTGACTCCGCCATGAATATTTAAGAGTTGTAAATAATGATTGTGATATAAAGAAAACTTGTATCCCATTATTTTAATGGTGGATGATTCATCTCTCTGTCAGTTTGATAAATTAACTCAGGGTATAAATATCTATTCTTATGTAATTTTAATGCTTTTTTTAATTCCCCCCTCTGCTCCATTTTCTCCTCCCCAAATTCAGTAATTTTATTAGCATGACAAGGTATTCAGCCTTTTGCCAAAGTCAATAGATCCAAGTCTTTTGCTTAATCTTCTCCTTCCCCCTTTTCTGAAGAATGGATCTAGGACACTGTTGTTTGCTCTGTCACAGGAGATTGCTGCCAGTATTGGCTATGACTCCAGCAGTGTCGGCCAGCTCCGGGGGACTAAGAGTTTTGTTCGAATCCTCATGCACCGAGACCTAAGCCAGCTTTTACCTATCTTGAAGAATTAGCAAAGGGGAAAAAAATGTCACTGTTCAAGTACAAGGCATGTAATTGGCAGTAGCAAGTAACAACTTCCTGCTGCTAAAAATATTTTGCTTTATTTCATTTTGCTAGCATTAGCAAGTCAGCAGTCTGTTCTGAAAAACAGGATTTTAAATGGCACATGAAAACTCAGCTATTTGAAACAGTAACTGAAAAGCATTTTTTCCTGATGCCCTAGGCTTCCTAATTACTACAAATTAAATTGAAACAGGTGTGCTGAGAGGCAGCTGAGCTAACATTGCCTTGGTCCAACTCTAATTACAATCCTTGACAAGTGAAGTTGTAGCATTTTAGCGATAATACATCATTTTAAGTTTTGCACCATTTTCTGCTCTTCCTGCAATTCCTATCAGGAGGCTGTTTGAACCACTAATGCAAGGTGGTAATTCATTTTGGTGACAAGTGCATTCAGATGGGAAAGCTGTGGGCTCCTGGCAAGGTGGCTTTTAGCAAGGTCAGAGAACGGCACAAAACAGTTGAAATAAGATCATAGAGGGAATAGAAAGTATTACCAAGCCAAACCCGGTTCTTTCAATTGTTTTTGCAGTCTCAATAATCATGAATATAGTGGATACAGAGTTTGTTTTGGTTTTTTTCCCCCTGATATAGGTGGAGAAGCAATTACAAAAGTCTAGATTTCATTACATTCTTGGACAACAGTGAAGTGCCCAGTTTGCATCTGTTTTCTTCCATCTTCATCATTTTGTGAGTGAGATGCCAACTAATCAGGAGATGGATTGTGACGTAAGATTGGAAACCTGTCAGGTATATGCTGTAAAGGGCTCCCAAATCAGAGGAGTTTTGAGGTCACTTTAGGGATATTGGAGAACTTCTCAATAGTGTGTTCCTTCAGTCTGCAAGTAGCTACAGCGAGGACAATGTGACTTGCCTAGCCCATTTGCTGAGGATGGTGTGTCTCTGTGTCCCAGATGGTGCCTAGCTCAGGTTGGAGAAACAGTTTGAAGTTCAGCCCAGAAAAAGTTGGGCTGCTGGTTGGTATTGAGAAGCAGCCAGAGGCAATATTAGTCCTTGAAGACAGTGGACCTGCTGTTAGATCTCTAGTCAAATGAAAACTAATAGTCAAGATTAGCCCAGCTGCTTGACAGCATGTTTCAGAAGTAATTCAGATAGGTTTTTGACTGACTGGGCTTTTTTGACCCGGCCCCTTTTTACTACAATTAAAAAAAATGCATTTTCAAATTGATACTGGATCATGGGGCAGGGATTCCTTTGCCAAAGGGCATCTCAACAGTGCTTCTGGCACTACAGCTTCAGGATCTACCTGTTGATTGCTGGGTAGAGTCTGAAGTACTTAGTAGAATGTTTTAAGGATCAAAAAGAGTTGCTTATTGACTAAGTGGCTGCATGTTGTTGGAAGAGTTACCATAGCAGGTGCCAGGGCATAGAGAGGCTTGAACTGCTGTGTCTCATCATTGTATCTAGATTTAGACGGAGAATTGAAAAGAATTGAACTGTTTTCATTCATCCCTAATCTGTCACTCCTGATCTTTCAGTGTGTTTATGTATCATGTAAAGATGTTAGAGATAGATGACACGTACTCTTAGGAGGAGCAAACTCAGAGCTCAGTATCTTTTCCTTTTTTTGTTTTTTTTTTGTACATGGGCTTTCTCCCATTTCTCTCTTACAGAATGAAAAAGAAAAACCTGTTTAAATATACAGTCTTGTCCATAATTTTGAGGAATAAATAGCAAAATTTCACTGCCAAGCATGGATCTGTATCACTTGAGCTACTGAAGATACAAGAACATAAACTAGAAAGAAGGTGCCTCTGTGCTGTGCTGATCCAGAGAAGGCAGGACCAATTAGTTGGCATGCTGTTTATATTCCTACTGTAACTGTAGCATCAAAGAATATGTGGCTACAGTGTTCACCTACCTGGTAGGGACCATACACTTCCTACCCTTCCCCCCCTGCCCCAAGTAATGAATCTTTATCAGTACTTTAGCTATCCATCATCTTAATTGAATCAGGTGTTGATTTAAGATCACTGTAACCTTTATGGTTCTCAAGATGTTTTTTGATTGTGTTGTGTATAACTTTGACACTGGGTTACGAAGACATATAACAAAATCCAATCTTTGTTTCTAGGAGGCTTTTCGATGGCAGGCTCTTTCAAGGTCTCTTTTTTTTTTTTTTCAAACTTGGAAAATGGTTTTGCATTTAAGTACAAACTTTTAATACTACTTAAAAATATAACTGAAATAACTAGGTGAGTAAATCCACTCAGATTTATATTACTTTTTTGGAACTTAGTACTGTTTTGGTGAAAAATGTAATTCAGTAAGCAAAACTAGTTTAAATTAAACTTTAACTGTGTTAGGCTGAGTTAGTGTGTTCCATACTGCTTCAGAAACAAAGCACTAGTGTTTGCACTTTTTTTTTTTTCTTTCAAATTTTCTGGTGTTACACATTTGTATTTCAGATGTTTGAAATTTGTGACTAGATCATTGCTGTGAACCTGGGTGCCTTCTGAGTAATTAATGTGCTGGTACTGACATATAGAGCCAGACAACAAACATGAGTAAGTTAGGAATCAGCTGGTCAATGTGGGAAGCCAGGAGTCATAGGTAATGTAATTTTGACATGAAAGTAACAATTTCTCTACTTAATCTCTTCTCATGTTAAATCTTTACCTCTACCTTTTTCAGTAAATAGTATTTAAAGCCATTTAACAAGTCTCTGCAAATGAAGTGAGCCAAGTGGGTGAATGTAACTTGTATTTATAAAGACGAGATCCAGATGGCAAAACACAAAAATGGGAACCTATTGGATGATGTTAGAATTAAATTTGTTAAGGCATAGATGGAGGAAAGCAATAAGAGTTTACTTTCCGGTTGACACACTTTCTAGGACAGCTGTGAAGGGTGTTTGGGAGATCTTAGAAGAAAAACTTATTCTGTGAGTTTTCCAACTTGAGTCAACTTTCATTTGTGATACAGCTGGCCAAAGGTGCTCTAGAGAAAGGGAACAACAAGATTACTAATTAATGTTGTTTCCTACTTTTGTTTGTTTGTCTGTTTGTTTTCCAAACCTCCTTCCATTGTGGGAACTTGATACTGCTTCACAGATGAAACAGCAGCTGGCAGTCCTATTTTCAATACCAGATTGCCTGCTCAAATGTTTCTCTCTACACTGCAGTGGGACTTAACAGCATCCTGTTCATGTCTTAGTTGCTGACTGATCAGTAGCACTCACCCAGCATGTGGGAGACAAGTGCTTTTCCCATACAGAACTGTGAGTGAGAATATTTGTCTTTACAAATGAGAGCCAGAAGGAAAAGGCAGTGCTTTCCCCACCACCATTCTGTACTTCAGTGGCTAGTGTTAGCTAAAGAGGTGAGACACCTGGATTTAATTCCTCTGCCCATCTGAACATGTTCACCTGTGTGCCAGGCCTTAAATGTTACTTGTATAGTAAATTTATCTAATATCTTTTTAGTATAGACTGTATTGTCATTCACTAGAACAGAGAAGGTATTCCAGATTTTCCTTTGTTTAGGTGAGTACCTGAAAAAGAATCACAGAATCACAGAATTGCCTAGATTGGAAAAGACCTTTAAGATCATCGAGTCCAGTCATTAACCTCACACTGAC